GCCATCAACTTTTGTCGTAAGCCATTACAATATTCAAATGCGAAACTTGAAAAAAAGATCGGTGAATAATGTAGCTAAAATCATCAATATTTGGAGGTACTGTTATATGGGAGCTAAACTAAAATGTGGACATGCACAGACAATTTTCTGCCTTAGGCTGCAGTATCCATTACGAACTTCAAATAGCAAATTTGGAAGAATTCCGGTGAATAATGTCGCTAAAATCATCAAAATACCGAATATCGGGAGGTACCGTTATATGGGGGCTATACCAAAACATGGACCTATATGACCCATTTTTAATACCAAAAGTCCTGCAGACATAATTTAAATTTGAGTAATTTTTTACTTTGTGGGTCTAAAATGTATATTTCGAGGTGTTACAAACGGAATGATAAACTGAATATACCCTCCATACTACGGAGGAGGCTATAATTAGACTTGAGTTCGAAAAAAGGCATTATCGGCTTCGCCTTCTCGTACCTCCCCCACAAAATGTCGAATTTATTAAAATAAATATTTTATTGCACATAAAGAGAATAGATTATCCGATATTACTCGAACTTTGAAAATCCAAATATTTCCATCAGTGATAGGTCAGGTTCGAAAATGGACTATATCGGTCCACTCCTTTAAGTACCTCCCACACAAAGAGCCAAATTTTTGGATAACAATAACTCCTTTAAAAAGTGAAATAAGAGCTCGATTTTCTTTAAATTTCCCACATCACAATATTTTTATTAACACAGGGTCTGGGTGAAGATGGAATATATCAGTCTAAACCATCTGGTACCTCCCCCACAACGGACCAAAATTTTTGCCATGAAGCTTATAAAACGCTAAATTAAAATCCAACTCCTTTCAAACTTGGCACATCTCTCTATTTCTATATACACGAGATCTGTTGTGAAGACGGGTTATATCGTTCTATTCCTTCTGGTATCTCCCCCAAAGCGGGTTAACATTTTGAATAATCAAAACTATCATAAAACTGGAATTAAGCATGCGATTATCTCTAAGTGTCACACACACACCACAATATATTTCTAATAACATGAGATGCGGTGCGAAGACGAAATATGTAGGACCAATTTTAATACCCTCCACCATTTGGAAGAAACTTGAAAAATTTAAAAAAAAAATGGCGAAAAATATTGCCTTAAGGAAAACCTGCCAAACAAAGGTGTGGACCAGCATAATTACTTTTTTTTTGTCACAGGCTGAAGTACCGAACTTCAAATATGAAATTTGAAACAATTCCGGTTAATAATGTCACTAATGTCATCAAAAGACAGAATATCGGGAAATATCGTTATATGGGGCCTATAAAAGGCTGTAGTTATCATTTCGAACTTCAAATATGAATTTTGAAACAATTCCGTTATGTAATGTCTCCAAAATCATAACAAGTAAAAAAGCAGTAAGTTCGGCAAAATATTGAATGCCGGGAGGCACTGTTATATGGGGCTATACGATATCGTGGACCTATATAGATAATTATCTTCCAAGAGATAAAGTCCTCACAAGAAACTCCTTGTGTGGATTTTCAGACCATTCCATTGGAAAATGTGGCAATAATCATCAAAATACCGAATATAAGGGGGGTACCGTTATTTGGGGACTATATGACATCGTGGACCTATATAGGTAATTATCTTTTAAGGGGTAAAGTACTCACAATGAACTCCAGGTGGCTATACAATATCGTGGACCGATATAGCTCATATTCTCACTTGAGCTGCCTGCAGACGAAAGACTAATCTGTGCAAAATTTTAGGCTCCCATCTTAATTCGTTTTGACTCTAGCGTGATTACAACAGGCGCACAGACGGATGGACGGACGTTTAGGCCAAAATCGAATTTTACGCTGATCCAGAATATATATACTTTGTTAGGTCTAAATTTAATATTTCGATGAGTTACAAACGGAATGACGAACTTAATATGCCCTCCATACTATGTATGGTGGAGGGTATAAAAACTAAAAAAAAATGATGTCGTGGTAGTAAAGAACCGCTTTACGAATGTGGTATAAACTAAATGGACAAGATATAATCACTAGATGACTTATCTAATTGATACCCATGTTATATTTTAATCTCTTATGCAAGCCATCACACTCCCAACAGATTACCCTTTCCATAGTGCGGCTCTATACATTTTGGTAGGAATTCATATAAGCATAACTGTTCAATTGCTACGTGCTGTGCATAAATGCACACTTCTTAAATGTTAAAACAACTTTACAACCAATTTGTCACGTCTCGGTGAAACTTACAGCCATGAAGCAAGAAATGAACTTTGAGTTTTTCTTTTTGTTTTGGCAAAAGTGTGAAACTCGAAACTCTTGAATAGGAAAATAATGGAGGCAACAAAACGAAAATGTTTTGTATTTTCGGGAAAAAGTCAAGGCAATTGAAACAAATGCTTATGTTTGTGGAGCATTTAAAGTAGTTATGTGGTAGTTGTATGGTAGAAAAGCCGATTTCAGGATAATAATGGAAAAAATTGAGGATAAAATTTTGATGTTTTGCATTAGATTATATTATTCGGGCACTTTCAGTGTTAAAGACCATTTCATAAGAAGTAAAAAATTCGTTCCACCATTTGGAACGAATTTTGCAATTCTCAAAAACCATAAAATCTGTTAAAAATTCTGTTAAAATTTTAAAAATAACAAATGTAGCTATTATATTAGGATCTATACGGCGACGTGAACCTGCATAGGTAAAATTTGTCATAAGCCATTACAATACTGAAATGCGAAACTTAAAAAAATCGGTAACAATGTAGCTAAAATCAAAAAAATACCGAATATCGGGAGGCACCGTTATATGGGCAACGCTATACGAAGACGTGAACCGGCACAGAAAATTTTCTGTCTTAAGCTGGAGTATCCATTACGAACTTCAAATACCAAATCTGAAACAATTTCGGTGAATAATGTCGCTAAAATCATCAAAATACCGAATATCGAGAGGTACCGTTATATTGGGATTATACGAAGACGTGGATCTGCACAGACAATCTCCTGTCATAGGTTGTAGCATCCATTATGAACATCAAATACCAAATTTGAAACAATTCCCGTGAATAATGTCGCTAAAATCATAAAAATACCGAATATCGGGAGATACCGTTATATGGGGGTAACCTGTGTTAACCTACTTATAAACGATTTATTTGAAATATAAATAATGGATATTACAATTTTAGTCCAAATCAAACATAGGCTATATTAATTTTTGAAGTTCCACTTGGAACTGAAGATATAGCTCAGAATCGGAGGTAACTCCCAAAAATTTATATTTTATATGCACATATCTCTTGATCGATGTTGATCTCCAAATTTGGAATGAGAGACGGGATTTGATTAGAAAATATATTTCCCAAATTATATTGAAATCGGTACAGGTTTGGATATAGCTCTCATATATATTATCGACCGATTTCACATATTTGACTCACCAAACACGGTATGTACCTTCAATTTTAATGAAATATGGAAGGTGTGACACAATTTGCTGAAAAAGTAAATTCTGCCAAATTGTATTGAAATCGTTTCAGATTGGAATATGATGATTTGTTCAGATTGGATTATGGTATTGGGCTAAAAACTACAAACAATTTAATTGAGATACGGGGAAGCATGTTGCTATTTCGGATTCACAACAGCAATGGCACTCAACTGCAAAAGATTGCAGTTTCCGGCAAGCTTGGCTTATACGATATTTTGATGATTTTAGCTACATTATTCACCGTTTATTTCAAGTTCCGAATTTGAATTTGGTAATGACTTATCACAAACAATGCCTGTGTGGATCCACGTCGTATAGACACAAATATAACGCCTATATTCGGTATTTTTAAAATGTCAACAGATTTTTTTAAGGATTTTATTTCCAAATTCGTTCCAAATGGTGGAGGGTATTCAAAGTTCGGCCCGGCCGAACTTACTGCTTTTTAGCTTGTTTTTTAATTATACCCTCCACCTTGGAAAGGAGGGTATATTAACTTTGTCATTCCGTTTGTAACATCTCTAAATATTCGTCGAAGACCCCATAATGTACATATATTCATAATCAGCATAAAATCCTAAGATCGAAATTGTAATTTAACGATGTCCGTCTGTCTGTCTGTCTGTTGAAATCACGATACAGGCCACATTATTGGACGTAGAGCGTCAAAATTTGGAAGAATAATTTGTATTGTGTCTAGGATGGTTGGTATTGAAAATGAGATATATCGGTCCACGTTTTGGTATAGTTCCCATATAACGGTACCGATATTCGGTATTTTGATGATTTTTGTCACACTTTTTCAAGGATTTGTCTGAAAATTGGTATTTGTAGGTCATAATGGGTCCTAGTTCGTGTGGCAAAGCATTGTATGTATAGGCCCACGCTTTGGTACAGACCCCATATAACGGTACCTTCCCGATATTCGGTATTTTGATGATTTTTGCCACACTTTTTCACGACTTTGTCCGAAAATTGGTATTTGTAGGTCATAATGGGTCCTAGTTCGTGTGGCAAAGCATTGTATGTATAGGCTCACGTTTTGGTATAGCCCCCATATAACGGTACCTCCCAATATTCGGTATTTTGATGATTTTTGCCACATTTTCCCACGATTATGTCTACAAATTGGTATTTGTTGCTCATAATTGGTTCTAATGTTTTCTTAACCCTAAGGTGGAGGGTATAAAAAGCTCGGACCGGCCGATGTTAATGTTTTTTTACTTGTTTTAATATAGACAATTGAAAACTTAATTGTCACAAAAAAAAAAAAAAAAAAAAAAAAAAAATAGCCCTATTTTCCTTACTCCATAACATTTCGGGTTAATATTTCACTTAACTAACTAAAAAGTTCCCATAGCGTAAATAAGACATTTTACTTTGTAATATACACACTTCTCAAGTTTTCCCTTAAATTTTAAATTTAACTATTTTTATAAAGAATTTTAATAATTAATATTATCAATTTTTTTCTCCTTTCAGAATAAAACTAACATCTAATTATTACTGCTGCAAATGTAAGTAATTTTAATATTTGTTGCTCCTTTTCGTTGACACTTTATGAATTTGCCTCTTAAAACCTAATACAATAATTAATTGTAGTGTAAAATTTTAATAGCATTACAGATAGGTTTTGCTTAACATTTTTGACAACCATAAATATGGCATACCACTGCGGCATGTGTGTGTGTGCGTTTGTGTGGATAGTTTTTGTGGTTTTCTCCTCTGGGGGCCAACAATGTGTGGTTTTAAACAACAGAAATTAATGATACAAATATAAATCCTTCATATATATCAGACTGCGTAGTATATATGAAAATATTTGGGATGCATATGTGGTGTTTAAAATTTATGATATAAACAAATTAAGGAATGAGAAAGTATTCGTCATTTTTTCACAACTTATATGAGTGCATGTCATTTATCACTCAATGCGAATCATAAATTAAAAGTGATAACTTATAAAATATTCCATACATGTAGTTGAAATCATGCATAGAGTTTTAAGGACATCAATCGATAATATTTGTTTAAAGTAGGTTGTCCCTCAAGACGAAGAAGGAGATCCGCCAGATTTGATATAGCCCCACAATATATCGATATTTTGATGATGATAGCCACATTTCTAACGGAATTTGAAATACCTTATAGCAGAAAATTTTCTATGTAAATTTACGTTTGGGCCTGCCAAACTTAATATTTTTTAATTGTTACTTATTATTTTTAGTTTTTATCAAGTATCCAAAGCCAATTTGAGAATTGACCAAATAGACAACATTTTCCAGTTGAAATAGTTATACAATTTACATCGATAATAAATCACTATCATGGAGAGTCAACCTAGGCCTACGTTCCTTGTTGTAGCGAATATACAGGGTAAGATAAAAAACTGCAACCAACTTCAGACTGCTGTCATTTCTAAGCCACTCGTCCGACAGCTGTTAAAATTATTCCAGTGACAACTCATTATATTGTTTACAAGCGTACAAAAGCATTTTGTTGAGACTTTTCCAGAAAAAAAGTTATTCGTGATGGAATTTCAGCGTGATAGTGTGATTTATTTATATTTGGCTGGAAAACCACAAGTGGCTATCCTTAGCGCATTCCAGTATTTAAATGTGAATAAATCTTTTGTGTCTCGTACCATCGCTCGTTGCCGTGATACCGGCAGCGTAGCCCGACGTCAAGGAAGTGGACGGAAGAAAACAGCAATATCAGCAGAAATGGTTGGAAAAGTAAAGAAGCGACTTGATCGAAATCCGCGTCGCAGTGGCCGAAAAATGGCTTGTGAGCTGAACATATCGCAATATTCATTCGGCAAATATTGAAAAATGTTCCCGGGGTAAAGCCATTGAAATTCAAAAAGTGCAAGAACTTACATCACCAAAGAAAGACAATAGACTCAAAAGAGCTAAAGAGAGTTGCTTTCCTTAGCCGAAAGAGGTGAACTCCGATGAGAAAACATTCGTTGTCCAGCAGTTTGTAAACAAACAAAATAGTCGTGGTTTCTTTCCAAAGAGGTCAGCTGAAAATGTGCACCTTCGGTTGGCCACCAGAACTCAAGCGGTGATGATGTGGGTCTTGGGTATTTTGGAAAGCAAGTTTGGGACTAAACAAGTTAAAAAGCAGTAAGTTCGGCTGGACCGAACTTTGAATACCCACCACCATTTGGAACGAATTTGGAAAATTTCAAAAAAAAAAAAAAAAAAACTCTTAAAAATTCTGTTAAACTATTAAAAATGCCGAATATAGCCGTTATATTGGGGTCTACATAGGCATTGTTTGCCATTAGCCATTACCATATTCAAATTCGAAACTTGAAATAAACGGTGAATAATATAGCTAAAATTATTAAAATACCGTATATAGAGAGGTATCGTTATACCGGAGCTATACGAAGACCTGGACCTGCAAAGGCAATTTTCTGTCATAGGCTGTAGCATCTATTACGAAGTTCCAATACGACATCTCAAACAATTTCGGTGGGTAGTGTACCTAAACACGTAAAAATACCGAATATAGGGAGGTACTGAGGGGGTGCTGGGGGCCTATACGAAGACCTGGACCAGCATAGACAATTTTCTGTCATAGGCTGTAGCATCCATTACGAAGTTCAAATACGATATCTCAAACAATTTCCGAATTTAGGGAGGTACTGATATATGGGGCCTAAGCGAAGACCTTTACCTGCATAGACAATTTTTTGTCACAGACTGTAGATCCCATTACGTATTCTAAATACGTAATTTGAAACAATTCCGGTGAACAATGGCGGTAAAATCATCAAAATACCGAATATTGGGAGGTACCGTTATATGGGGGCTATATGAAGACGTGGACCTGCACAGACAGTTTTCTTTCTTAGGCTGTAGTATGCCTTTCGAACTTCAAATACCAAATTTGAAACGATTCCGGCTAATAATGTCGCTAAAATCATCAAAATACCGAATATCGGGAGGTACCGTTATATGGGGGCTATACGCAGACGTGAACATACATGGCCCATTTACAAACTTAACCTGCCTACTGGAAAAATAAACATGTGTGCAAAATTTTAGCCTTATATCTCGGACAGACAGACAGACGGACATCGCTAAATCGACTTAGAATTTTGCGCTGATCAAGAATATATATAATTTATTGGATCTGACATAAGTATTTAGAGGATTTACAAACGGAATGACAAAGTTAATATACCCTCCATAGTATGGTGGAGGGTATAAAAAAACCAAAGTGTCGATTAACTCACGCAAGCGCTTCGTTTCGGGAATAGGTCAAAATACCGTAGAGCAACATTCGGGCAGCGTGTGACGGTTTCGTTTCAATCGGTTGTTTAAAGGCTATAATTCGTGCGAAAAGTGACTAATTCGAACAAATCTAAACTTATTTTGAAATTTGATGCTATTTCCTACATTTTCTTTTATTGTTTTCATTCAATAAAATTAAAAAAAATGTAAAAATTATGGCGTTTGACTTTTTTGCAGTTTTTTATCTCCCCTGTAGGTCCCAAATTTTGACTACTCTGAAGTTATTCAAATAAGGTTCATAGTTGGCATGATCAACTTCACATAAATTCCCAATATAAACTTGTTTGTTACGGGAGCTCTACTAAATGCGCCTAGGGGTGTAAGGTATCATATAGTCGGCCTCGTCCTCTTTTTAACCTTTCATTACTGGTTATTTTTACATAATATTGGAAAATGCAGCAAATTTTGTTGAGTTACTAATTCAATTTGCTTTTTTTTTCAACCTTTCAAGGTCGACAAGGCTAAATCGTCATATATTATTCCGGCTGTAGTAAAATTAAATATAACTCATTTCCCCTTCTCAGTCTGGATAACCTGGAATCAAAATTGTCAGAAAAATATGAAACATACATGTGACCTTTACAATAAATAATAAACACAAATTTTATGTGACATACCAATTTCAACATATATGCACATATATATGTATGTATGTACCTTTGACATATGCATTCATAAGCAGATGACATAACCATGAATTATGTGGTAATAAAGCCTATTAGTTTATACCTTTAGGGGATCATTACGCTTAAAAATTTGAATATATTTCACAGTTTTCGTTTACCTTTGCTCACACACACACACACATGTGAGTTATGGGTGCTTTCGTTTCTCGGTGTGAGTGTGTGTATTTTATGTGCCTTTCGTCACATATGCATATGATCTGCTCTAGCTCTCCTTTTCTTCCTACCATTCTAAACCAATTTAAATTTATGAATATTTCAACATACGTCGGGGGTGTATTTTCAAAAAAAAAAATGTCATTTGCATTACTTTTGAAATGAAGTCTGCGCCTGCAAAATGGTGTGAATGTGAGAACTTGTTTACACCTCTCATTACTGAGAATTTTCCAACAAATTCTGTGAAGAACGTTTTTGCAGCCAACGCAATTTCAGTAAAGTGTCCAACTTTTATACCCGCTGGGCTTCCTGCTTTCAGATGTAACTAACATGAATTTAAAAACAAAATCTTTTGGAAAACTGTTCGTCAAACATGTGTGAAGGTTTGGTGTAGGCACTGGCGTAGGCATATAATTTTTATGGGGAAGGGGGCCTATATTCCCTAGAAATAGTAACAGGCAAGGAAGGAAATTGGTTGTTTGTCTTCCAAACCCCTTCAGCTTTGGCACCTCCTACTAAGAAGCTTGTCTTGTTACGCCCCTGCCAGCCTTTTGATTTCCTCTCCAACTTATGTTACGCATTTTTTATGACGCTGTTGAAAATATTTTCCACAATGTTGTAACATTAAAATTCGCCAGCAAGCATTTTCACTGTAAAGCTGCAGGAAAAACGCATAAAACTGAGAAAGAAAGTTTTCGCCCCTTTTTGGTGTATTAAATTTCCAGCATAACTCTACCATTTAAAGTTTTACATCACACTTCATTATGCCGTTGAGTAATCTGGATAAAAGTGCCTGGCATAGTTTTTGTTGAAGTTGTGTATATACATTTTTTCTGTAATATAAACTTTTCGTTTGTGTTAGGAGAAAAATCCTTTTTAAAACAGGAAAAATGCCGACAAAATTAATTTTAACTTTTTTATAGTTGGACTACGGGTGGAAAACCTCAAGGATTAATAAAGGTTTTATTCTTCTTTTTTTATTCTAAATGTAGAGAGCAAATTATTTGAGCATAAATTAGGGTTATTTGAGTATAAATATATCTTTCATGAAAATGAAATGAATATATTTTCACAAATACATTAGTATAGATGTTAATATTTCGTCAACAAGAATTTTTTGTTTGGAAATTAGTAAATTAGTATATTAGACATCTTCCCTGCCTTTTTGCGAATACGGTAGTTTATCGTCTTAACCCCAATTACGTTTGAATACGTTTGAAAATAACCCAATCATTTAGTGGCTGTGATGTTTTGAGCTTTAAAATTCAACAAAAAAAAAAAAATATTTTTAATTTATTCCCGTCTTTTTCATAGTCTCCACCATAGTATGGAGGCTATATTAAGTTTGTCATTCCGTTTGTAACACCTTGA